AAAATAAATACAAGCCATGCGATACCTATTTTCAAATCCCAAAAAAAAGGTGTATCGCTGAAATATTGCCTTATAGTTCGTACGGGCCCCGCTTCAGGGCGTTTAAAAGACTGCCTTTGGCGTGTGTATGCATATTAGAAAATAACTTACAAAAAATTTGGATTTTCACGAGTCACACCGGTGTTAGATCCTACAATAAACTTTCCCCAGAGCTAAAAATCGGTAATAATATAAACATTTTTAAATCCAAACTAAATGTTTTTTCTCCTACAAAACGGTTTTTACAATTTATTTTATAATATACTTGACGAAGTCCATAATACACTGATTGTATTCTAAATATGTTTGATAATAAACATATTATTATTATTATTATTAAATGACGCTTGTTGTGGGTTATCACTTAAGAACCTGCAAAGCGCTTAAAGTCTATTGGTCAGTCAAGTTGATGTTTAAAACCTTTCTCATGTTGTTGCATGAAGACAGAGCCTTCTGGAGTTGCCGGAACAGGCAAGCGGATAAATTTTTCCAGGTGCGTTGTCAAATTTCGGTGGCTCCTAATTGGGATAGTTCTGACAGCACGCACCCTCCAGGTGTTTTGACGTCTTCAGCCAGAGGTAAGTATTTTTCAACTTTCTCTCTGAGTTTTTTAAAAGTGACCTCGTTCTTCGCCCTGTCATAGATCACGAATTCGGGTTTGTTATGGTGAATTGGTTCATCCGTCAGGAATTCGCGATCCCAGTAGACCTTGAAGCAAGCATTCTCCATGACAGATTTCAGCGTGGATTATCTTCGCCACATTGTTACTATCGAGAAATCAACGAAATCGATTCTTTTCGAAAGTAATCGGGCTCCTCACTAAACCTGAGCGTAGGATAGAATCAGCATAGAAAAAAAAAAACCGTTTTTTTTGTCTGTCCGTTCTCCGTTTCTCCTTTTCAACCACGGGGTGCATAAGATGTGTAAAAATGGATGAGTTCAAGCTTCGGCGTCCATCTTTTTTTTCGATTTTCGAAAGTTTTTTGGACGGTGCTATCGACTTCAAACTTGGCAGGCATATAGTGTGTGGTCCCCTAACGTAACCTGTTGACATTGGGGGGGTTGGGGGGTCGGGAAGTATTGTCATCATTTCTCGAAAACTGTTTGTTGTACCGAAAAAATTCATAACGAGAACACGTAAAAGATTTAACTGCAAAAATGTTTGTTCATGACAATTTTTCAAAAATGTACAGGGTGCGCCGCAAATTAAAAAAAAACCTGAAAAATAGGTTCCCCTATTATTGAAAAATGGCGATAACTAAAGGACTGTGTTTCAGATATCAGTTTCTTTTACATGGCAATAAAGTTTTCACCTATTGTACAGGGTGTTCGCGATATTCAGTGCAATATTAAAAAAGGTAATAGGTTCTCTAAATTTGCAGCTACCGACTTCAGATTTGGCAAAATTTGTGAATCAAGAAATGCGGGAGATCCGAGACCATAACCCTTAATTCAGGCATTTTTTCTATTATATACAATGTTTTTCAATTATACACAAAATTCTAATAAAAAAATCGTTCTTTTCCCTATTAAATTATTTGCCGTTAATCAATTGGTTTAAACAGTGTTGTAGAACACATCGAGAGCTATTTGTATTTACAGTTTTCGTCTATCACCATTTCACTATTTGAAGATCACCATTTCTCTCCCTCAATCTAGATTCAGAAAAGAAGCATTTTCTTGAAAACCACTTACTCTATTGGAAAAATTCATATACCAGGAAACATTGGAAATCCAGGGCTATAACCTCTATTTCGAATATTGTTTGAATGATATACAGGGTGTTATTCTAAAAAATGGTTGCTACAACTTGATCTTGAAAGGCGCAGACAAAGCCTTCGGTCTCAGAGAAGATGTTGCTATCTGTGAGCCAAGCTAGAGATGCAGTTTTCTCTATTCTGGTCGTCATTCATCAGGTTGATGTATCTGCAGTGAAGATCTTTTTGTTTCCATCTGCCTATGAAAGCCGGGGTATTATGATCTGCATCACATTTATAACCTAGATTTTTGAACTTTAATGGCGTAAAGTTGGTTTCCTGACGAACCACTGCGCTATGGATTGGTGACGACGGTGCCTTACGCAAAAAATATTCTCGTAGGAGTTCAATCTGTGCCTTATGCCGAAGTCGCATATCTGCCACTCCTCTTCCACCCATTGACCTAGGAAGGTGGAATCTTTCTATATAGGCTTCAGGGTAGTGTTTAGTAAAGCAAACACGTACCATATGTCTCAACTCTTCCAAGTCTGCCGTAGACCAAAATTAGTTGTGATGGTTGGTAGAGCGTATGCATTAATAGCAGCTACGATGTTGTGTCCTGAAAGTTTTGTTCTGAGAATGGCTCAAACTCTCTCTCCTGTAGAGTGATTTTCAGATGATATTTTTCCTGCGTATGTTGTATACCTGAACAAAGCCCAGATATTTGTACGTTTCTCCTCTCTCCATATAGTAACACTTCCAGATCCTGATGCCTTAGTAAGAGGAAAGTTCCCAGATTCGTGCCACACACCCTCGTGCATTCCGTTCACTTACATTTGTCGAGGCCAAATTTCATCCTCATGTCATTGAAAAATTATTCGACACAGCGCAGTTGTTGTTTTATACCTTTCTCAGTAGCCGAGAACAGGTTGATATCATCCATGTACATCAAGTGTGTGAGCTGAACGTCGTTACTAATTTGATAGCCATTGTTATTATTATTATTATTATTACAATTTTAATTTTCCGTTTCCACAGGTAAGTACTTTGGACACGACTTTCAGTAAGTTCCCAAATAGTTTTGTGATGTTAAATTAAAAGCTTAAGGTACAGTTTCGGTGCTAGTTGCAGCGTTTGAGGCTCCAATGTAGTTTTAGAGGTATTTCACCAGTTGCTCGCACAATTATTGGCATAATAACAACTTTTTCTTGGTTCCAGATTGTTTTCACTTCGGCAGAGAGTGGCATGTATATTCCGACTTTCTCAAGGCGTTATGGGCAGCCGGTTCAGCAATATCAGCAATCAGGTAAATAATTTTCTTGAGTTTGTCTTGTACCACAATATCTGGCCTATTGTGTTCGATGGTGTGATCTGTTAGTAGTAGTAGGGGTCTCCGTGCAAACACCAATTCCTTGGGCTATTTCCTGGTGTATTACTTTAGCTATGTTATCGTGCCTTCTGAGGTACTCTGTTGGAGCTAAGGTTGTACATTCAGCGATTATGTGTCCTATGGTTTCTGATTCTGCACTAGTCAACTTGTACGTCTGGATCTCCTATTATGTACGTGCGGTAGTTTAATGTCGGTATTACCTGATCTTCCATGGGGTGCATAAAGCCAGCAGTTTCCGCCATTAGCGTAATGTTTTCTAACCAGGCTTTGGAGGCATTGGTGTCTAATTGTTCGAGTTCCATTGTAGCGGGGTACCGTGCATGTAGTTCTTTTGATTTATTATTATTATTATTATTATTAAATAAGAACCAACGTTGTTCAGATTTTCACATAAATATATTTAAATGACAGCTGTTTCGGCAACACCGTGCCTTTATCAAATGTGAATATCAAACGGTACCGACGTTTATAAATACAAAGAAGGTAGTAATTACTTAATGTGAGGTATTAAATTGAGATTTAACAAGGGGAATTCATTCAAATCCAGTTGGTCATTAGGTAATACATTCGAACCTCTCATTTTATTAATCCCTATAGCTTCTAGTAAATTTAATTTTCTACTTTTTGAAACAGTGTGTAAAATATCGAAATTGTCGTCGAAATTGTGTTTTTCTAAATTTAAATGTATAGGGTAATTAGAATCTGGACTATTGTTTTTAAATAATCGTCGATGTGCGTTGATACGTTTTTTGTCTGCTTGTCCAATATAAATCTTAGAACATGATCCGCAATTTAATCTATAGACTCCAGAATTCTGGGATCTATTAGATTAGGATTTATTGTTTTTAACAAATTTTCCTTGGGTGTTATTAGTTTTAAAAGCAATTTTGAGGCCACATTTCGAGAGATGATCTGAAACTTTACTACTAGGTTTTCCAATGTATGTTAACGTTTTAAAAGCTTGAGAAATATAAAACTGACCATTAAATTGAAAGTAATTTTGGTCTAAACAAACTATTATACTATCCAATAAATCTTGTTTAACGATTGGGTTAATTTGGGTTAACAGGTAGATCTTTCAAAAAACGTATCAACGAACATCGACGATCATTTAAAAACAATAGTCCGGATTCTAATAACGCTATCCATTTAAATTCAGAAAAACACAATTTTGACACCAATTTCGATATTTTACACACTGTTTCAAAAAGTAGAAAATTAAATTTACCAGAAGCTATGGAGATTAATAAAATGAGAGGTTCGAATGTATTACTTAATGACCAACTGGATTTGAATGGATCCTCCTTGTCAAATCTCAATTTAATACCTCACATTAAGTAATTACTACCTGTTTTGTATTTATAAACATCGGTACCGTTTGATATTCACATTTGATAAAGGCACAGTGTTGCCGAAACAGCTGTCATTTAAATATATTTATGTGAAAATCTGAACAACGTTTGTTCTTATTTAACTATTTTAAATGGATTTTTATCAAGTAAAAGCCACTTCAGTACAATTATTATTATTATTATTATTGTCATTATCATAATTATTGTCATTATCACTAAGTTTATCAACACAAATATTCTCTTAAACCCACATATTTCGATAATTTTTATAATATTTATAATCTCAATATAAATAAATAAATGATTATTTGCAATTTTAAAAATTTTGGATTCTTATATTCCGTCTACCACTTGTTGAGTGAGAAACACCTAACAAAACAGCAAAAAAAAACAGTCTTGTTTATCTGTGGGAGGTAATAATTTTTTTAAATTTTATTGTAAACTGCAGTAAGCTCATACCAAGCACCATAGACATAAGAGTTCAAAATTAGCATATGTTGATATATGATAAGACTATATTACCTGAATATGTAAAACGCATGTTGTAATCAGAAGTCCGATGCATATAACCGTTGCCACCGAAAGTCCGGACAAGAACAGCGCGTGCTTCAGTCTAATGCAATATCTTTGGTAGAGGGTTTCCAGTTCCATTCCATCTACTGAAACAAACAGATTGGATTTAAAAGGAGCTGCGAAATTAACATTAAATTATCTGCAGAGTATTGCCTAGAACGCCTGCTTTAGGAACAATGTAATTTCTAAAAAAATATATAAACTAAATTCGAAAACTTGAATAAAATTAACTTAACCTATGCATATGTTTTAGTTCTCGCAAACCAGTTGCATTAATAATCTTTCGAGAAAATCGTAGGCCATTACTTAACTAACTATTTTTCGATATATACTTAAATTCTTAGTGTGTTGCTAAAATTTCTTTCCTGTTTACCAACAAATGTATAAATGAATTCTTCGTATAAGATTTTGTGTTCTGCGTGATTGTGCTAAAGCTATTTAATAATCATAAATTTTAATATATTGAGTGATTAAATAAGGAAATTATTGCTATTGTCGAAATATTCTGATAAAACCTTATATTTACCTCCAATTATTAGAAAACCTCTAGATGAAATGAAATCAAAATAGCTGAAATAAAATATTAAATGCTTTTTCATAGCTTGTCACTTAAGCTTGATTGCTTGACGTTCGTTTTTCCAGTCTGATATATAATAAGTTGCCTTTGAATGTCTACAAAGCAAAACGTTTCGTGAGTGCTCCAATAATAGATCTTGATAACATCCTCGTTCCTCGTTTGCGTTCAATCTGAAAAATCCATAGAGCGAGGATTTTAAATAATACATTCGGACTTGTTAGTCAGGCAATACTTAAAAAATATACTTCTTACCAAACCATTTTTTAAAAAATGAAGAAACGTTTTGTAGCCAATTTATGAGAGCGGGAAGGGCTAAGTTCTGCATTTCTCTTTGGGTAGATTTGATATCTCGAAGTCTAAGTATAGACTTTGCTTTATTCTAACCAAACCACTAAGATTTAATAATCATCCATCCAAAAACAGCAGCACAGTTTAGACTTTACGGTATACAGCAATAAGGTCTACCAGGTCTGTCTCAGAAATCCGGATCGGGAAATTTATTGCGACTTTTGTTGGGTCATTTTTCATTTTCGTAGCCACTTTCTATAATACGAGACGTCAAACTTTATTAAAACAATTTTAAAAAATGATGAGCCTCACATAATTTCAAGATATTTGATGCTTTAGGTTACAATTTTCAGGATAATTAAATAAGTAAATGAAAATATTGACGCCAAATTTTCCCGATGTACTCTTATTCTTGTTCATTTTTGATGACTGTATTTTGTTTATTTTATGTATTTTTTATTTTTTTTTATGAGACTTAGTTGTAAATTGTATGGGCTCAGCTAACTAACATTTAAATGAGAAAGTGTGACTTCAACTTGTATTCTTGTGTTTTGTAACACAAAAAAGTTATATTATTATTTTTCTTCTCTTACAGGCTTAATCTGGTCGGTAAACAGTAAGACGTCGATCCGGAAAGAAAATGCTTCGCTTCATGACAGCATTTTATTCACCTCCAAGTGTCCTCCTTACTATGCTACAAGTGTCATTTGTAACTGTAGGTATATATCCTTTTTCAACTCTAATGATCTTAAACCATCATGCAAGGTGTTAGAAATTTCAGCTATTGCACCTATGATAATCGGAATAACTCTAACTATGGCAATTTTCCACATTTTCCTGATCTCATCTGCCAATGGTAAGTATTTATTAGTCTTTTTAGCATATGTCTTTTGTATATTTGGTATATGATGAACGTCACCGCGGCTTATTAGTAATAATTCATCTGACCCAACCTCACAGAGCAGCGGCGGATCTTTCAGGTCCATGTATTTCCTTCTTAGTTCTTGATAATTCACGCTAATCTGTCGTGTCAGTGTTGAACATCCAGACACAATATATTCCTATTTCTCGTCACATTCGACACTTACCAGTTACAACTTGTTCCTTAAGGATCCTTTTTCCGTAAATCCTTGTTGAAGTGACCCGATTCTGAATAGCAGCGAAAAAGTCTGCAGTCTCAGGAAACAAGGTGCCAGTGCGCATATAAGCTGTAGATGGTCTAGTATCCACTTCTTCACTCTCAATAGCCGCCAGATAGGCAGTGCATAGGGTTGCTCTGTCTCTGTTTCCTCAGTCGATCAGAAGTAATGATATTGAAGTGGGGTTGGAAGTCTGGTACTGCCAGTCTGTTGCTGTCCGCATTTAATGCTGCCCGATGCAGCGTCCTAGTCCTGACTTTGATAAGAAAATACTTTCTGAGATTCATAGATATTTGGCAATGCTTTTTCACTCTGGTGTCGTGGCAAATGAAACCTTTTGAATTCCTTGCGAGTTTTGGTGTCCATGTCTTGAAATTCAGTACCAGTTCACTTTATCACCCCAAAGTTATAGCTAAGTACCCATGTCGCCTATGGACTGAGCAGATCCGTCATTAACAATTCGTCATTAATTCACAATAGCCTTTTTATTTGTTACTTATTGTGCATTGTAAAAATCGTTGCTAGAGTCAGGTTCTTAGAGATTTTATGAAACCGACGGGAATAAGCAAATATTTTTAATCCGGAATTGCCTTTTTCGGAGTTGTGCCGGGTGGTTTTATCTTAGAATCTGTAACAAATATCGAAAAACCTAAATTATCGGATTCGCTTATGTTTTTAAAATATTGTATATGTAGCTTCTTGAATTGTCTTTAGTATTTTAAAAACAATTCTATGCTGACGATACGCAGATTTGCAACTTTTTCTCTCGCTCCCAGGTTAGTGCTCCTCTATGTTATTTTGTAACTAAACTCAGAGTGGGGAATAGCACGAAATCATTTAAAAACTAATTTCCAATGTTAAAATTATTTATTTTGACCCGCATCGTTATTTATTGTTTCAAAAAATTAAGTCATTTCTATGAGAAACTTTGATTTTGTAAAATTTTAATTTTACTGACACAATTTATGGACCATTTTAAGATTTTACTGTTATCAAAAGGATACAGTATTACAAGATAATTAAATCATAATATCCACTCCATCTTCATTAAGAACTATACCTATCGTAAGAACATACATAACTTAAACATGTCTTAAGTATCCCCTTTTAACTGCACGAAAGCATATACAAGATTTAAAAAACAAATGAAGCGTAAATTTGTGACACGATAATATGTGGGGATTTATTTGGATGCTCGATGCTAAGCTTGCTTGATGTTAAGCCATTAACGATAATTTTTGAAGCTTAGGCAGGCTTCAGCAGAATATTTCCCAGAGAATGGAAGAATATACAGGGTGTACCATTTAAAAAACGCAAAAAAAACATTTCTAGAAATCTAGTACAAAATATTGTTTTCAAATACCCTGCCTGTTCGATTCAAAATAGTGTGCCAGAAACGAGTCCAAACATTGCTCTAAAATCTCGGAATTAATTTTTTATTTCGATAACGGTATAGGGAAACCTGAACAAAATCTATTTTGTTTCTTGAGTAGATCCTGCTGTTATAATTTAAAACAAATCCGTTGATATAGTATTTAAAAAGTAGAGGTGAATCCAAACAAAGTTTTCTATTTAAAGATTTTTTTTATATATTTTTACCGGTTCTAAGATAAGGTGTCATCAAATCATAAAGGTTCCACCTTTGAATCAAATATGGTTCGTCATCCAATAAATCTTTCCAACAGGACAGGTAGCTTTATTCACTGACATAGTCGTCGATAAGAAGCCGAGTCCCGAGAACTTTTCCGCCATAAAATTAGAATAATCCGTGGGACGAATGTTTCTCGCTACTCTGAGATAACACAACTTCTTTAACTTTCATTTGATGAAACGACAGCTAACGACTTTTAGATTTGAATAAATCTCGATGAATTATACAAATTCTCGCCTTTTGGGGCACTTTTTTTTTGAGGATTGCCAGCGAAGCAAACAAGTTTTGCTGATTTTTCGTGTCTAATTTAATTTTATAAATATCATTAACTTACATTGCTGAATAAGCGATGAAGCATTCCAAGAAGATTAATTTTGTGAATTATTTTCATGCTTATACGGGTTTTTTCACGAAAGTATAAAAGTTTCCATGGTTAGGAAAACTAAATTTTTGAACTGAATTTCGGCAATTCATTTTTGCTCACCCTGTATTAATTTACATTCAAAATATCCACTCAGTATATGACAATAGGCTCCCTTCAAGGAGAAATGCATTCAAAATTAAATAACTAAAGCTCCCTTACTGGAAAAGTTGTTATTTATCATATCAACATTAAAAAACAAAAATTATGTTGGAGGTCCTTAAATATTTTCCTGTTTAACCTATTTTTAATAGATAAGTCCAATTGTGACACTATTTTAAGTATCTGTTACGTATTTAAATACATTTTTCAAGTTTCAAGTTTTTGAATATTTCATTTCTTTCTCATAAGTCGGCTATAAACCCTAAACATTAAAAATCCTTTGGTTGAAAAACCAAATTTTTTATTGCTTCTAATGACTCCTTTTAAAACACTCTGTAATAACATATGGAGAAAACTAAAATTTGACACGACTTAATTAATAAGTTCATTTAATTATTTCTATGATGAAATTGTATAAATAAATAAGAGGCCATATACAAGAACCACTCCCGACAACGAACGGTCACAGTAAATATACGCCTTTCTTCTTTCTTGTTAATTGGTTCCAGCCCATCAAGATTTTATCATGTTCAAATGGAAGCAACGTTATTTTTCTTGATTATGTACCTATGATAGAAGTTCAGGAATCGTTTTATCCAAATATCGTGGATTTTGGCAATTTTGCATACCACCAAATAATCCAAAGCTCATTGTGTAACGAAACTCAGTAATTAATAAAGTGTCATGCAAAATATACATGGTATCGGATATTCTTTTTTGAAAAGGTATTCTTCATAACGACTGATAACGACGTTCTGTCTTCACCATCATAAATATGTGTTTAACATAGTGTCTAAAAACAAATAAAATAAAACAACGTAAGTATTTAATATACATATAATATATTTATTCTTTATTTTTCTTAGATTTACATGCTTTAAACCTATTGCATTCTACAGTAATTACTT